TATCAGGCAGAAAAAGTGGCGGATGTCACATGCAATGGGAATTGATGATATGCGAAGCACGAACGAGGAAGGCTGATGTGTCACTTTAAAATGAGCACAACGTTATGAGGTGGACGTAAATTATGCTGTACATGGTTTCCATATCATGATTATCAAGCTTGGACGAGTCATTTACCTTCATCGTCTGTTGACGTCACCTGATACCAAATTCAGTATATGTGGAGCAAACGAAACGGCCGCAAGCACGCTATGAATGTAGCATACAGTCATGTTTTACATAAAACGCATGTCGTGATTATTTTATTTAGGCGAGTCATTTACCTTCATTGTCCATTCAAGTCACGTGATCCCAAATATATTATATGTGGAGCTAAGGAAACGACCACGAACGCACTAAGAACGTAGCATGTAGTCATGTTTTACATGACATGCATGTCATACGATTATCATGTGTGAACGTGTCATTGACCTTTGTCTACCGCAGGGTTTCCACTGACGTTGGAGTGAAATTAGTCAAACGACGAGCGAAAAGTCGCCAAAAGTTGCCATTTTTTTTCAATTTTTTCCACAAAAGTCGGCACTCTACAAATGTGTGGCATGCCTAGTAATAAAAATATCTAATTATGTATAGCCCCGTGAACAACAATACCGCCTGTCAACCCTTATTTATATTGAGGTTTTTTAATGCCAGTTGCATGACCCGCTTCACCATGGCAACACTCAGAGAGGACATGCATGCCCCATTAGCGTCTCTAAATTCTAGCACCTCATAAGAAAAGTTTGCGACGGTTTTACTTGTAGCGGATACAGGATGAAGCAGTGGCTACAACAAGAGAGGGATGACGTGCGTAGCCTTCTTGGAATAACGGAGAATTTCATTGAGTCGAATGAGGCGTTTAATAACCAAAACTTAATTACAAATCAAAGGTAATACATTCGAAAGTAGGGCGTAACCTTCGCAATGTACGCAACACCCTTTATGTGCGGTCATGCTTACACTAAACATTCGCCTGAGTGCAGTTTCTGAAGGCTGTCCGAGGAAACCGACTTCTTGGCCGGCCCTAAAAGAATGTTGATGAAAATTTTAACTGCATAAAAATAGGTAGTACTACAGCCTGAAAGAAGTCGACTGTCTATCCAGTACAGTTGGAACTGAGGTTGGAACACGTGGCTTAACTGTCACCCAACCACTTCAGAAGCCACCTTTACAGAAACGTAAAGCTCTAAGTTCCTCAAGAACTTAGCACACACCACCACCTCGCGGCACGCGAGAAGTCTGCTGACCTAAATTATGCTTGGAGATTGCTGGTGGATGCACCAGTGTGCCAGTGCCTCAAGCGTCTTGATGAATTGAGAAAATACACACGAGGAACGAGGAACAGGACATACAAACTGAATTGCGCGTAAAGTGTACCTCTTTCTTTCTTTCTTTCTTTCTTTCTTTCTTTCTTTCTTTCTTTCTTTCTTTCTTTCTTTCTTTCTTTCTTTCTTTCTTTCTTTCTTTCTTTTCTTCTTTTTTTCTTTTTTTCTTTCTTTCTTTCTTTCTTTCTTTCTTTCTGTGCCAGTACAGAAAATGGAGCGAAGGCAAAAGGCTGAAAGCCTGACGAAGGGCCTTTGCTCCAAATACAGTGAGGCAGACAGACTGACATAAGACTTTTGCAGGATACAGAAAAAATACAAAAATATACAAAAATACTTAAGGTACTAGTGCAAATACTGTAACACTTACAACAGTAATAAAGTGTTGTTTATAGTAAACAGAAATATACATAACCATCTTAATGTTTTAAATACCAATAGATATAAGTTGCGATTTCTCATCGCTATCGCAAGAGATTTACAAAAAATAACAATATACACAGGGAAGCACAGGAAAAGAACACACGCAAAAAAGCATCAGATACAACTTAGGCAAAGAGGACAGATAGAACAATAGTCAAGAAAATTCAATGTTGTTCACGATCAGTACCATCCTGATCGTATGCTTCGAAACTGTACAATTTATATCTAGGAGGCTGTCGATTTTGTTTAAAAACGTGCGTATCTGAAAAGATTAGTGTTGTCGTCCGTAGATTGTTCGAGTCTTCGGAGTTCTTCTAGCATAAGTACGAAAATCGTACAGAGAACTACGAGGATCCAGTGAATGATGGAATCTATTGCGTTTTATGTACTGAAATAACTTGAAATAGTAAATCTGGCTTGCTTTGAGCATGCGATATTTTGAAAATAGCGGTTCTGTCCGCAAGTCATGTATAGGGCCACGAAAGTCTTCAAACATTCTCAGAACCCTCTTTTGTAGAATAATCAATTTAGAATAGTTCGTTAGTGTTGTAGTCCCCCACACAAGAGCGCAGTAAGAAAGTCGTGAGTAGAAGAGAGTATAATAAAGGATGTTTTTTAGCCACAGTGGTATGAGAGAATTTAACCTGTATAAGCAACCAATACTTTTACTTAGTTCTGCACTTTGATCTTAGCCAAAAAGCAAAAGGCATCTCTCTGCAACCTCTTTTCTCCCCTTTATCCCTTCCCCAGTGCAGGGTAGCAAAGCGGATGCGCGTCTGGTTAACCTCCCTGCCTTTCCTTGCATCTTTATCTCTCTCTCTCTCTACTTAGTTCTGACTTTAACTTCGCTATGTGCTCATTCCAAGATAGGTCTTCTTGAAACCAGACACCTAGGAACTTTTGGCTGTTAACTTGTTCCAATATGTGCTCTTGTAGGTAATAGTCATATTAAAGTTTCTTGGTTTATTCACGGGCACAAACACAATGTACTTGGTCTTATTTGCGTTTAAGCACAACTTATTAAGTTTTAACCATGACGAGAGTCGATTAAAAAAAACATTCACATTCTCTTCAAGGTCGACAAGTGAAAACCCTCGAAAAAAATGTTTGTGTCGTCCGCGTACATTACTAGTTTGGGGCAATCTGGAATGTGGCAAAGATCATTGATATAAATTATAAATAGGAGGGGACCCAGAATGGATACCTGCGGCACTCCTTTCTCGACCACGACGTAGTCTGATTGCACGTATTTATGCTCACAAATTGGTGTCGATTTGCTAAATAGCTTTTCAATAGGTCGTGTGCAATTCCTCGTATACCACATGAGCTTAATTTATGCAAGAGGATGTCATGACATACGGTGTCAAACGCTTTGCGCAGATCTATGAATAGACCAACCGTATATAATTTTTTCTCGAAATTCCCTATTATGTGATCTTTTATTTGAAGTAATGCGAGCTCTGCAGACTTATTTTTCTGGAAGCCAAATTGCGCATTATTTATAACAGTGTACTTATCAAAAAAATTCTGGAGCCGCTCGTTCAATGTACTTTCGTAAACTTTCGAAAGAACAGGTAGCACTGATATGGGCCGATAGTTGGTCATGTGTTTCGGATTGCCGCCTTTAAATATCGGACATACGCGAGCAATTTTCAGCTTATCTGGGAAAATGCGCGTGGAGAAAGAAAGATTGATAATATATGCTAAGGGAGCTGATAACACATCGGCCACGTATTTTATCGGCACAGGTTTTATTTCGTCGTACCCTGCTGCACATTTGTTTTTTATTTTCCTAATGCTTTTTTCAACTTCGGTGCATGTGACAGGGGTTAACACAATTTTATTGGGAATACTGTAACTTTTGACAACTGATGTAGGACCTCACTATCGGTGTCATCTTGGGTGTCACAGCATGTTACGAAATACTTGTTGAATGCTGTTGCTGCATTAACATCACTTACACCCGCTTCTGTCTCTATGGAAGTTACATTGCTGCGAGGTTTGTGGCCCAGCAGGTCTCTGACCTCATCCCAGATTTTCCTTGGGTCATTGCTTATTCTGCTGAAAACATCTGCGTAATGGTTTATTTTGGCCTGTTTCAACTCATAATTAAGTTGATTTCTATACTTCTTGTATTCCTTTAGCATATTCATGTCGCGGGACTTGAGAAATGCATGGAACATGCGGTGTTTCTTCTTTATTTTTTTATGCAAGGCATTTGAAATCCAAGGTTTTCTTATTTTTTTGCTCTGTTGTTTCTTCATAACCTTCGGAAACGCAATATCATAACATTGTTCTAGTTTTCCAAAGAATATCTCATATGCATCGTTTGGGTCTGCTACCTGAAGCACACGCTCCCAGTCCTCTTCAATAATTCGTTGACGAAATACCCCCAGCGTATGGTCATTGATTTTACGGAATACCAACTTTTAATTATTATTAACTTGATAGCAATCACGTTGATATAGGAAAGGCTAAAAAAATGGGCAGATGATCGCTTATTTCTAAAGAAAGTGTCCCAGCGAGACACGATAAAGAGGATACGTTCGTGATGCAGATATCAAGCAGAGTTGCCGTTTCAGCCGTCACTCGTGTGACTTTTGTGATAACGTTTTCACAAGCAAAGTAGTTCATAACCTCTGTTAGCTGTCGAGCTGAGGCATCCAGTGAAAGCATATCAACGTTGACGTCACTCATGATCGCAAAATCTAAACCCGAATGGCAGGAATAATTCAGCACATTTTCAATCGACTCCAGAAATGCTGGCTTGCTACCTGTGGGGGGCCTGTAGACCACTGTTATAAGTGCCCTAGGCAGGCGCATCATTAAGCATTCAATGTTTTCGTTCACAGTGGAAAATTGAGGAATAAGTTCATGGTTAATTGTATCTTTGACGTAAATGGCCGCACCACCTCCCCGTCCTTCAGTACGCACAAGGCCATTATAAGTATAACCTTGAAAATAAGGAGGATCTTCGCCACTCGTTAGCCAGGTTTCCGAAAACACAAGTACATCAAAACCAAAAGAAAGCTGAGAGAAGTAGTCATCCAGCTGATCTTTTTTATTACGTATGCTGCATACGTTCACATGAAACAATGTCAATCGCTTGTGAGCGTCGTGCAGCAGTGAATTGAAAGAGTCAAGCTTATAATAGCACACTTTTGCCAATTTATTAGTGTTTCGGCAACAGAATAACCCCTAATACAGTTGTCATTAATTTAATCTGCGACAGATGTACTGTCACTGACAGCCTCTGCTGTCATTTTACTTAGATCGTTGGTAGTGGCTATTCTGAGCACCTGCGAACTTTCGTTTCGACGGGCGAATACCTTCCCATTTGTTGTCCAGACAAACTTCCACTTCATCTCCCTTTTACGTTGTATTGTGGCACCAAGCAGTCGTTTGCCATTCCTTGTCAGGTGTTCATTAACGTACACTGGGGATGACACTTGACTTCCCAGTACCCCACTGTCGATTTTAGCTTTCTTTGCCTTGCTTAGCAAGGCATTCCGTTTAGTTATTCTCACAAAGCGAACAACTATGTTGCTTACATCATGCCGAGAAGTGGGCACTCTATGGCATGTGTCAACATCATCCTCAGAAATTTCTTCATGCACAATAACTCCAATTTTCTTAACAGCCTCGAATGGTTTTATATCAGCAGGAACGCCCTTGATTTCAAAGTTATTGGAACGCTGGTACTGCTCGACCTCTTCGACCCTGCTCCGCAGTTTGGCATTTTCCACTTTTAGCTCCTCGTTTTCTTTCAGTATCTGACTAAGGCCCTCTTTGAGGTCCTTTACTTCTTTCAAACTGTCCTTAATCTCTCGGAGCTCTTTTCTTAATTCGCGGCGCAGGTCGTCCATGGCCTTTGCCGTGTCACGCGAATCCTTCGCCATCGTAGGGTGGGAACAAAATATATGCAATGCACTCAGACAGAGCTGTAATCAATAAAAAAAAAAACAAAAACAATGAACTATGTCCGGCGGCAGTGCACAAAGGTAAGAAAAAAATAGCGGCTACAATATTGCCGTGTACGTTTATCTCACCTCCAAAAAGGTGTTTCTTTTAGTGCGTAGTTCCAACGTGCACTGCTGCCGCACTGCAGAAGATGCGATGTTCCCGCAGGCTTTATATCTTAGAGGGACACGATTGCCCTCTGGTGACGACGTTCTTGCGATGACGAGATCTTGCGATCTTGAACACAGAGTGGGCGACAGTTGTCTGCCGGGTCGTCAATTTCCTTGCTTGCGGCGATGTCAGATGCTCGCTTGCGCAGATGCTGGCAATAAGTGCCTGCAAAAAGGTGTTTCTTTTAGTCCGTATAGTTCCAACGTGCACTGCTGCCGGACTGCTGAGTCCAAAACTGCTGTCTCACTGGTGAGTCCAAAACTACGAAAAATAGAAAAAAAAATCGCAGCATATCCACGTAGTGCATGATGATGAGTGGGGCGAAACGTCCATCTGTCCGTTCACTCTTGCTTCCGCTCGTCCATACGTCCGTCTCTGCGTCCGTCCGTGCGTCCATCCGTCCATCCATCCATGCGCCCGTTCATGCACATGTCTGTCTGTCCGTCCATCCGACCATCTAGTGAACACTCCAAGTACCGCACTCTCGCATCTTTTCATCATATAATCCGCATATAGAAGTACCACCATCCAGCGGACATTCCAAGGACTAAACGAGAGGTGGCCCTCGCACACTTTCTTACAGCCTGTGCTTCGTCTCTACTTCCCACAATTGACCACCTCTAGTTCATGGCTGTATACTAGTTTAATAAGTTCATGGCACTGTGGCCCATCCCTCACTAAACCTTGCTAAAACCGGTTACGCCCAGCGAGTTTAGCATGGCAACACTTTCTGGTCAGATAGTGCTCAAAGTGCATCCTTCTGATACTAGTTTTTAAATACGATAGCCTTTCTTGGGGTGCTTCGACGCAAAAATTTTTATCTGTCTGTCTGTCTGTCTGTCTGTCTGTCTGTCTGTCTGTCTGTCTGTCTGTCTGTCTGTCTGTCTGTCTGTCGGTCTGTCTGTCTTCTCTGTTTTCTTTGTCTGTCTGCCTGTCTGTACATTTATCTGTTTGTCCAGGTTAACGCTATTACAAACGGCTCCAAACTATACCCCCAACGGCACACCTCATCTACAGCACCCACCAATAATGCTCCAGTTTCAGCGTTCATACCTGAGTGATTGTCAAATAAAAAGCAACAATGATGCATATATGAGGCACCATAACAACACGTCAATATTTTGCATGTGTGTCTTTACACTTCAGAAGGCATGCGTAAATAATTCTAAGGACCGTAGCGTTTATCACGCTGCGCTGACATTGCAACGTGATGCTCAAAAAGGCAAGTATTTGCAACGTTTTGCTCAGACAGCACGGCGATGGCACCTGTCCGTCACTTTGCGTTCTACACCTTATCGCCTCCGAGACAGGCACGTACGCCTTCCTTCGTTTTCAAAGGTAACTGCCAGACAGCGCTCGTGTCAAACGTGCCTCGATGCGCTCGTTTGTCTTCGCTGCACGGATCGAGACTCTTACGCAGTGCCTCCAAAATACAATCAGCGATTTTTTTCGCGCAGAACATCAAATAAACATTTTGTTCGCTCTCTTTAGACGCAAGACTATCGTCTTTCGACGACATTTGCAGTGAAACATGCAGATACGGGGTCATGTCATCAATACTCGTCTCTGTAAGTTATTTTATCAGAAACAACTATCTTTTTATGTATGATTAACGTACGCGGGTTTCCTCCTCAATTGAAAAGGGTGGGCGTGTGCCGCTCCACTAGTCCAGCTGTGGAGGTGGCTATCTACTACTACGACGACGACTACATGCATCGTCGACGCACGGCCCACACTAGGGAACTTTGCCCCCCGAAATGCTGATGCCAATTTGTTTTGAAGACGCTGAAAATAGAATACATAACTCAGTCGAGACGTAATCCTAAAAGTGCCTAAAAATCGCCATGTCACCAATAGGTTTTTAGGTCGCCACGGGCCTCTCAAATTCGCCAATTTGGCGAAAAGTAGCCACAAGTGGCAACCCTGGTCGTCCATTTGCGTCAAGTAATAAGACATTTGGTGTATGTGTAGCTAGCGAAACGGGCGGGAGCACATCATGAGCGTGGCATGTAATCATGTTGGTACATGAATGAATCTCAAAATTATCATGTTTTCACCACACATACACCTTCGTCATACATTTACGTTCCGTAATACCAAATTTGGATACATTAAGCTAGCAAAATGGCCACGAGCACGTCATGTGCGTGGCGTATAGTTATGTTCTTACACGACAAGCATATCATGAGTATCATGTTTAAACCAATGATATACCTTCGTCATCCAATGAAGTAACCTAACACCAAATTTCGTATATGTGAAGCAAGCAATACGACCACGATCGCACTATGAGCGTGGTAGGTAGTCATGTATTACATGACACGCATGTCATGATCATCATGTTTGGTCGTGTCATTTACCTTCTTCGTCCGTACGCGTCACGTAATATCAATTTCGGTGTATGTGACGTTAGCTAAATTTCCACGAGCATATCATGAGCATGGCGTGTAGTGATGGCTTACATGACATGCATGTCATGATTTCTACGTTAGGGTCTATCACTTATGTTCGCCATGCAGTAATGTCATACCATATACCAGTTTTGCAATGTGTGATGTGAGCAAAACCACCGCAAGAGCTGCGGGACCATGAAATGTAAATCATGACATTCATGACATGCGTGTCATAATTTTCATGTTACGACTAGTCAGTTATTCTCGTCGTTCAGTCATGTCACGCCATATCTATTTTAGTATTGATACCACTATCAAAATGGCTTGGAGAGCTGAAAGGCGTAAGCGGCTAGATAGATAGATAGATAGATAGATAGATAGATAGATAGATAGATAGATAGATAGATAGATAGATAGATAGATAGATAGATAGACAGACATTCAGACAGACAAACTCAAAGTCGCCAAAGCTCGCTGAAAATGCTTCGGCTTTATAAAAAAAATGACACGAGAAAAGAGCTTGTGATCAGATAGGCCCTAAAACTTGTCCCTGTGCGCACCACTCCAGTATTATCCTGAACAGCCACGACAGTGCTTGAAACTCCCGTGCCTGGTGATGTGCCGGGATCGCGTATGGTAGTGTAGCATGGTAGAAAAGTGCAATAACACCAGGTGTCACACAATGCGAAAGGCACAGCGAGTTCCTCAATGAATGAATGAATAAATAAATAAATAAATAAATAAATAAATAAATAAATAAATGTGACGCTATGGTGAATGGGAGACGTGGCCTGGCTCATACGCCGTGTTTATCCCGTTGTCACTTCTTCCTCATCTACTTCTACAAACCATCGCTACCTTCATACGTCACATGATTCCCCCTCCCCCGAAAGAATGCGCGAGCTACAAACTATGAAGCATGAACAAGTGGTGTCTCATCATAGGAAAAAATATCACAAAAATAGAGTAGTTCCATGTAACACGGCAGTTCCATGCACTTGCACAAAAACATTCACAGGGAAGGCAGTCCAGTGAGATCTAGGAGACCTCAGGTGGGCGAGGTTGGCTGTTGCGTTCTGGAGAGCATAACCACGCATTCGACGTGGAAAATGATAATGACACAGCCTGGATAGTAGCGAAAAACGAACAAGGTTGGGAGTCCTTGTAGCGTTGGAAGGGTGGATGTCTAATGCGTTGGATTCTTAGTCGTGGCTGCGACAGATGCATTGTATCTAGTATGCGTGCTTTTTGAGAGATGATGACGGCTAAATGCCTGTGTGCTGGCGGCGTGCAAGAAGTTGCTCTGCGTATTAATGGGCGTTTTCCGTGGTGTTGTCGTCTGTGCAACCGCTGGCGTAGAGAGCGTCTGTGACGATGTTCCTTCATCCGGAAACATCCTTTTTCTTGAAATGGCCCTTGGATCAAAGTTCTTCATTTTTTAAGTCGTTCAACTTGGCAGCGTGCTTCCGTTGATGTTTTCATTCCTCGTCGTCTTTTCTTGATTTGTTGATGGTGTTGAGAAAATTGCGGGTGGTCATCGTCGTCGAATAAGGAGACGCTGTCGGTAGTACCAGCATTGTTTACGAGTGGGATGCAAGCATGATTTGTGTAAAGGAAAGCAGTAGATACATTTTCGTTTTTATCGGCGAGACTTGCATACAATAGTGACTCTGTACTGCTTCGACTTTCGGTTGTTCCGGTTCCTGAGGATGACATCACCGCAAACATGGCTTGACGTGGTTCCGATTCCGTATGTTTGTTTCTTTGCGGGAGAATCGAGCCAAGCGTTCCTGAAGTACAACCGCTTTCGGAATGACAGTGGCTTGAAAAGTTATTTGACCGATATTTCAGGTGGTCTGTTGCGTATGTGGCGATATCTTGAGGGGTGCGATGAGAGTGACGAGCACCAGACGAGCTACTTGGCACGGAACCAAATGATGGCTTACGTAAGCAAGATGAAGAGTCAAGTACATTGGGTGCTTGAATATTGTCTTGATTTGTGTTTTGCAGGGAAGAGGTTAGCGTTGGCGATATTTGTGCAGATGCGAAACCAGGTGGAAGGTTGGGCCTTGCAGAAAAACGGCTTGGATGTCTTTCTATGAGCAGATGACTGACTTCGCCTGACGGGAATTGTAAACTTCTGCTCTGTGCTCGAACGCGTGAAGGCTGCGTATGAATGTGATTACTGAATTCGAATGCATCAATATGGCTGGTTGTAACCGAATCTTGATTATAGTCTTGAAACCAGATGATCATTTCTTCTTTTATCTTTTGCCAAGACTCATCGTTCTCGAAGATGTGGGTGAGGTAAAACTTGAATGCCTCACCTGAGATGTAGTCAGTGAAGTTTATGATCATCTCCCGTTCCGACCAGG